GTCTGAGGGTCAAGAAAACATTCTGCCCATATCATTCGACAGCAGGCTTGGATCCGAAAACCAGCCACGGGCCTGGACAGAGTTCCTCTTCCACAGGCCACAATTGAATCCCTGTCCCCTTCCTCATCCATCCCATGCCTCCTCACACTTGACCAGGGGCTGTTTTCCAGTGCCTCATCTTCTCCCCCCACCCCCACCTTTTCTGTGTGTTTTCTGGCTGCTGAAAGGTTGATGAGCCAGCTTGTGAAAATAATATGTGTTAGCCAAAACAGCCCTCCCTTGCAAAGGCTGTTGGGAGCAGTGTTTATTATCCACCACGCCAGCCCTAGATGACCTCAACTTCTCACCAGAGTTTAAACCAAATATTTTAAAAAGGAGAAAAATAATGGGCCCTTGTCTTTATCCGCAGAGCTGCGAGCTATCTCCGTGACTAATACAAATGATAGCATATGGTGAGGTGGACAGTGAAATATTGCCCAGGCGTATTGCCTTTTTCGTTATTATTAAAGGGAGGGTCTTAATTCCAGTCTGGGAACTTGAAACACTGGAACCTTACCCAAACCTTTCCCTTTTCAGCCAGAAATGCAGCTTCAGAGGTATTCTCTAGCCTAAAGAGAGAGAGAGAAGGATTGCTTTCTTTCTAGAACGAATGAAATGATGCTGTTTGATGGATATGGAAAATTCCATCCTTGACTCAACTGTCTGGGTTACTTTAAGATCTGAAGGGATGCCTTCAGGGCCCTGAAAATGAAGCCTTGAGAATATTAACAACAACCAATGTGATTTGTTCATCTAAGGCAGGAATCCTATCCATTATATCTTGGATCTAAGTCCTATTGAACTTAGTGGGACTAAGATTGGAGTAAACACACAGAGAGAGTTCTGCTGAGGATCAGATGCAGCATGCCTGACTATATCTGTTCATGATAGAATTAATGCAGTGGGTGAAATTGTACCCAGGGAGACCTTGGTTCATATTTCACCCATTGCAAAATGACAGGTTGACCCTAGGAAAGTCATTTTTCTCCTATGAGTCCAGCCTCCTATCTAGAAATGGAAATATAGAATATATGAAATATATGTTTGCACCCTGATCTCTAAATGGTGGAAGGTTTCGGGGTTCTGGCCATGTATCTTAAGTTTGGTTTCCTTGGAGTGGATTTCACTGGAAGCTTATGGCACTTCTGTAATATAAGGCTTTATTTACACAAATACACCGGCTGAGCATAAGAGGGAAATTTCATAGCATGAACATTAGCATAAGAGGGAAATTTCATAGCATGAACATTCTAGCAGGTCCTGCTTCCCCACTGTTTTTCTAGGGGTTGCCCCTAATGCCACAGCTCTGTCACAGAAAGCAAGCCATGCCTCTGCAGTTCTCAGACTCAGTTCCAAAACCGCCCATCTATAGCTGTCTTTCATAGAGAGACATCTTGATGACGTCACCTCAAGCCAAGGGAGAAGAAAGGTATCCCCCTTTGCAGAGGGGTCTCAAGTTTCTGTGGCAACACATCACCCGTACTTGGCTATTTCTTCAGTTCAGCCTCCTTAGGGAATCACGCTAAGCTTGTCTACCCTGTTTGACCTAGTTGCCAGTCTCATTTGATAAGCACAGTCACACGGTTCATAGAGGTGACCCCCCCCCAAAAAAAACCCACTTAGTTCATCCTCAGACAATACTAATACTATCCTTGTCTTTCAGGGCTGCTTGTAAGGATTGCTGAAAAACAGTAGGAAAGGTGTCCTCAACACTATATAAATGATACCGTATTGGCCAGAATATAAGCCACACTTCCCCCCAAAAAATCGGGCTGTGAAAAGTTAAAGTGTGACTTATATTTGTGAGCCTTATGGCTCTCCTCCCCCCCAGGAAGCAGCCCACCCTCCACTCCCAAGCCTCCCCTAGCCGCCTAAGGAAGGGGGAAGGGGGGGAGGCCTCCAGCAAAGCTGTGCAACTCCCCCCCCCCCAAGCAGCCCGGGAACACGGGGCAATGGCATGCAGCCCACCCACTGCTCCCAAGCCTCCTTCAGCGCCAGCTTGGGGAGGTAGTGCTGGGAGTGCCAGAAGGCAGTAGTACCAGGAGGCCGGCATGCAGCGCTTTCAAAAGCGAGCGCCAGTGCCAACTTGGGGAACAGGGCACTGAGCGCTGGTGCCAGCCGCCTCCATCCCCTGTTCAGGGCAGTAGTGCCGGGACCCACAAATAAGCCTTGAATTTTAAAGGTGCGGCTTATTTGTGGGTGTGTATTATATTCAGGCCAATACTGTAATAATTGTCACCATCTATAAAATTCTGACTAGGCAAGTGTAATTGAGTAGTACAATAATAATCTGCAGTGAGTCTCGTGATAGTTGGTGTTTCACTCTCTGGAATCGTACAATAACTTTTTTTTTTTTTAATAGCCTTTTGCCTTCAGGCTCCAGCTAAAAACAAGTTCTTGTACAAGAAAGTGTTTTAAAGTGTTTTGTTTTGGTATGAATGGTTCATGGGTTTGGAATTCCTCAAGCTGGCACCAGCACTGCACTTGCAGAATGTACCAGGAATCCTCAAACACCAAATAACATCTTTGAAATATACACCTTGCTGCTCTGCCTTTTAGTGCTGCTGCGAAATCTTGCTCTTCAACTTGCCTGGCTCCTAACACCATTCATTCAGCAAAATGTTGCAGGTTCTCTTGAGCAAGGGCATTGGCTAGGGATAATTTTGTTAGACCCAAAGCAGCACCCTGATGGCTCAGCAATGCCCTGTCCCCGTATTGACTGCACACACACACACACACACACCCACACCCCGCCGGGTCTGTCTGGCGTTTTAGTGTAAGACCGGCATGTTGGCAACTCAAATCCAAGTTGGAACATGGTGCAGTTTTTACTCCTACAAAATTCTCTTCCTTCAGGGAGAAAAACTTGTACAGAAGGATTAAATAATAATAAAAAAGTCTGCCTTGTTCTATCAGCTTCAGACGCAGCCAAAAAGGGGGGCGGTTGGAATATGGCTAACATCAGGTTATCATGAATTAGATATTCTCGGAGATGTATTTTTTTATTTTAAAAAAATCCAGACTGTCAATGCTGGATTTCAGAACAGTAAGCTCATATAAAAGGTCCCAAAATGGCAGAGACATGGAGTGGGGGGGGGAGAATTATGCCACTGTTTATTGCTTTCATTATAAGTTTCAAATATAGGAATAGATAAGAGTGCTCAGAACAATAGTAATTGGCACATTTGGGCGGGGGGGGGGGGCTGCATTTTCCCAATGAGAAAATATTGCAGTTGGAGAGATGGGAAAATGCTACTGCCCTACAGCAGAACTACTTCCCCCAAACAAACAAATAATTGCTGTGCAGTTAGAGTGCCCTGAAACTGCCAGAAAGCCCACCCCAAAGGCATGGAAAAAACCACACACCTTTGTTCGGTGTGCATCTGTAATTTGCACCAGGTCAGCATTTCCTAACCAGTCTCCATTCATCCCGATCATTAGACATAGGCCAAGGGTGAAGAACCTGTGGTCCTTCAGATGTTCTGCTTCCAACATCCTTGACTATTGGCCATGCTGACTGGCCTTGGTGTCAGGTTTTTTCAGTGCGGGAAACATATCCTCCAAATAAATAAGTAAACCTAACTAACATCAGAAAACAGGTCTATTGTTGCGAGTAGATGTGGTAATTTAATGAAACCTGGAGAGGCCAGATCTATCTATTCTCTGTTGTTTCTCAATTGGTAGAGTGGCTGTCCATCTGCAGGTGGACCTGGCATGAAGACAATGTCTTCCCTTCAGTTCTCCCCCTGGATCCTTTTACCTCCATTTACACCAGCCCTTAATTAATTGCTTTGCTGCCATAATTGGCTTCACAGCCCCCAGCCCACTGCACTCCCCTTAAAAAGGTAACACCCAGGATAACAATAGACTATCTTTCAAGATTGTCATACGTTACTCTACAACCGGCAGAGTTGGAGTAGGACCACGGAGACAAGGGTTCAAATCCCTGCTCAGTTATGCAGCTCGTCTTGGGCTAGTCACTGTCTCTTAGCTTAGAAGAAGAAGAAGAAGAGTTTGGATTTGATATCCCGCCTTTCACTCCCCTTCAGGAGTCTCAAAGCGGCTAACATTCTCCTTTCCCTTCCTCCCCCACAACAAACACTCTGTGAGGTGAGTGGGGCTGAGAGACTTCAGAGAAGTGTGACTGGCCCAAGGTCACCCAGCAGCTGCATGTGGAGGAGCGGAGACTCGAACCCGGTTCACCAGATTACGAGACTACCGCTCTTAACCACTACACCACACTGGCTTAACCTACCTCACAGGGTTGTTGTGAATATAAAATGGGGACGAGGAAAATCATGTGTGCCACACTGAGCTTTGTTGAAGAATGGTGGGATATAGATTAAAATTAAAAAAAGATTATTTAATTAATATCTATTAATATTCACTGCTTTGTTTCTGGTGCCTGCTAAATACTTCTTTGTTTAGGCAAGCCCATGTGGATATGTATCTTTATTATCTATTGTTTATGGTGATGCACATTTTTAGCAACTGCTGGTTTTACTTAGGTTTTGACAAATATTTAAGTTAGATCGCTTTTAACGTTCAATTTTTATGAACACTTTTTACTGAATATTTTATATTCTCTGTAAATTGCATAGAGGTTATGGATGATTAAGCAGTCTATACACCCTGGGTTTTTATTTTTTTAAAAAATGAAAATATAATAATTTATAACATATATTTTATTCTTAGTATATTTTAATTTCTTTTATATATAGAATCCATTTGCTTAAATAGGATATCAATAATTAGAAACAAATACATAAATTAACAGTGTGAAGCAGTCCTAAGTAAGCGCTTGTGCCAAAGTCAGGAAATAGGAAACTGCCACTTGGAGGAAATGTGTCATTGACCCAGCTGCCCCCCTTCATTCTAATCCACCAGTAGCTGCTAGACTTTGAACCAGTTGGCAGTTGTGTCCCGCTCTTTTTACAGGGTCACTTTCTCTCTCCCTGCAGGTACATTGGGGCCCTGGGGGCAAGGGTGATCTGCGATAACATCCCCGGACTGGTCAACAAGCAGCGGCAGCTGTGCCAGAGTTACCCAGACATTATGCAGTCCGTTGGGGAGGGAGCAAAAGAGTGGATCCGGGAATGCCAGCACCAATTCCGTCACCACCGCTGGAACTGCAGCACTTTGGACAGAGACCACACCGTCTTTGGCAGGGTCATGCTACGAAGTAAGTCCCCAGAGCAGCTCACCTTTTTGCAGAGAGCCCCACTGAATGGTGCAGCATAGGAATCTTTGACCTGCGATTTTGATGTTCTCATTTGAAAAAAGTCAATGTTGCCTGTCCCTTCGTGCTTTATTAATTAATTACTGATTTATCATTCCTATGAGGCATCTCAAACCGACTTCCTGCATGTTGGTGGCATCCGCCTGTCTCGAGAGACAATGGAGGCTGCCTCCAGGGTAGGGCTGCCATATTTCAGAAAGCGAAAATCCAAACACAAAGATTGTTGTGCTTCTTTTGCAAAATCTCATAAAAATAAAGTTTTGTAGCTACTTTTTCAGAACCTGCCAAAATCGGCACCTCCGACATGGGTTGCCGTACGTCTGGATTTTCCTGGACGTTTCAGCAATTTCTGCCCAGATGCTGTTCCCGATGACTGAATCCTGGGTATGTCCAGGAAATTCTGGACGTATGGCAACCCTACTCCAGGGGTGAAGCCAAACTGCTGCATTAGCAGCACTTATCTCCCCAGGCCGCAAGCTTGGGCAGTGTGTATGGAGGTCCTGGTCTGCTTAGATGACAAGACTCCCCTCTTGGCTTTGCTGATGTGGTCCAAAGGAAAGGAGAACAACATGTTTGGCACCAGCTTGGCTGCAGGGGTTGCTGGAAGAAGGCATACAAGGCGCCATCGAACTGTTTTAGGGACTCCACTCTGGATTTGTGTAGGGTTTGCTCCTTAGCCTTTTAAAAGAGTATTAGACAAATTCCTGAAGGATAAGGCTATCAGGTCTACTAGCTATGATGGCTATGGTATATCTCCACTTTTGAAGGGAGTATGCCTCTGAATACTAGTTTCTGGTGAACACAAGTATGGAGGGAAAGTGGCAGGCATGATGCTGATTACCTTAATCACCTGCCTGCCTGCCAAGTGATCACATAATGATTTCCCCTCTGTCATTTAATAAGAGATCTGCAACAAGCTGTTTATTGTCTAGGTGGGTTCACTGTGAAATAATTTTATTGAAAATCTTAAACGCTGTGGCTTTAGCACCTTTCCAGGCTTCAGGAAACAGAAGCAAATAAAATGGACCACTTACTTATTATTTTGAATTTAAGATTTATGGAAGCAGGTACAACTTTACAAGGACTTGAGGTTGGCAATATCCCGAGTATAATTTCACGGCTTATGTGCGCCAATTCAGAAAGAAAGAGCCCCACATGGAAGTAGTCCTTATGAACATGAGAACATAAGAAGATCCTTCTGGATTAGGCCAATGGCCCATCAAGTCCAGCATCCTGTTCTCACAGTGGCCAACCACATGGCTGTGCGAAACTCTGCAACAGGACCCAAGCACAAGATCACTCTCCCCTCCTGTGATTTCCAGCAACTGATATTCAGAAATAATGTTGCCTCCGTTATTGCATCCATCCATCATGGCCAGTAGCCTTTCTGTGTCGCTCCATCTCTTGGATCATTTCAGCTGCCATTTTCTGTACCTTTTCCAACTCAACAATATCCTTTTTGAGGTATGGCGACATGCACACATACATGCAACTGTGTACAGAGATAACAGGGTGGAGAGGCAGAGGGAGAGAGTTTGGGAGTTTCTTAGAACTGGAACTCTCAGATCTGGCTTCATACCTGACTGGGACAGACTCACATTTACGAGACAAGTCTGCAGGCATAGCATTTAGCTTTGTCCAGGAAGGAAGAATCTTTTGCTAATCGCTGTGGACAGAGCAAGGCCTAAATTACCCTGCATGATGTCTTGGCTTCCCCTGTATACTAAGCAAACAGTAATAGGATATGTCACTGTGCTGGGAAGTAGCCACTTCAGAATAGGAGAGAACACCTCTGGAAGCATGAGCTTGAAAGTAAACTGTAACAGGATATATAAATATTTGGCTAGCGGGAGCTGGCTGGGAATCAGCTGCTGGGGCAAAGTTTGTAGTCACCCTGCATAGTGCAAAAGGCCAAGCCACAGCTTTGACCTTCCTCTCAAAGAGGGACTGTGGTCAGGGAGTAAAACGCACCCCTGTGGAAGGCCTCAGACATCAGTGTCTAAAAGCTCCAGTGTGCCCTGCCCTGGCTGTGCCGATAGATGTGTTTCAGCCCTGCCCCAAATGTTACAAACACTTGCTTTAAATGATACACAGGGAAGCATGCAGGGGCAGAAAGTCAGTGTTTAGTGTGTATAGAAGTGGTTTTGTGCACTACCCCAATGTTCTTCTCAGTCTGCATACAAGTATAGGAAAGTGCATAGACACCTCTTTGTCCTTGATTTTTACAAAGAAAATAGTGCAGGGACAGGATTCACATCTCTATAATGCCTTTTATCATAATGTTGTGCAATGTGAGACTGAGATAGGCTAACACCAAATCAGTAAGTTTGCCTACCAGATAAGCATCTCAGCCTACTTACATCTAGTGCGCGAAGTGTTAATATTTGGCAGGAGCCTGCCTTCTCTTTGCAAATTTGATTGTAGTCAGGTAGTCCATTAACAAAACAGTTTTGTATCTGTAGTAGTCTATTTTGCTTCCACGTTTGAGCTGATCTTTCTTTCTGCTTGGCAGATTGAATATAGTATAGTTGTTTTCCCACTCCCTTTAACATTGTGGTACAAGATGTTATGGGATATGCCATACATCTCACATAGTCCCTAGCAGGGGATCTTTTTAATGATAGGCACGCTGCTTTAGCACAAGTTATGCATGTGAATATGTTTAATGGAACCTTGTCTTAAGTTAAATCAATAAAAGCCAAGCACTGTCCGGCTGATCTTACCTTCGGTCCCTGTTTCTAGAAAGCAGACCTGCCATTTGCTTCTCCAGCTTCTGCTGAAGGTTGCTAGATTGCACCACTGGCTTTGAAGCTGTTATCCGAAGGCTGCGTCTGAGGAACGCAACAGTGTGGTTTTGATTTGCAGCTGTTTTTATGGCCATTATAAAAACAGATGCGAACTCAAAGCAGAACTATAAAATACCAGGCAGCATCCTGCACTGTGTGGGGACTTGCCAGGCGATTTACAGCTTCTGGAAGGAGCGGTACTATATATGCATTTATCCAAAAAAAGACAACAGCCACCCAGATATGATGGGAGGATCGTGCTGTTCAGACTCAGGGGGTACAAGGAGAGAGGTGTGGAACCAGAAAGAATAATTTCTACAGATGCATGCAAACATGTGAACAAAGAAGTCCCAAGATATCCGAACCTTGGCACATTGTGGAGACGAAGGCAGGCAGACAGAGGATCAGACAGACTCTCCAAAGAAAATTAAAAACAATATTGAAATTGCTCATCTTCTGTCAGCAGACCTTTCTTCATTAGGGCCCTACACCCTTGTCTTCCAGGCTGCTTCTCAAAGACATTTTACCTCCAAGAAGTCCATTTTCATGGCATCCTCTTCAGCAGGACCTTCACTGTTGCTTGATCATTGAATTTACCCAACTCCAGTCCCTGCTCAAAACCAGAAAATAATCTAAGGATCTCAGATGCCTGACTTTGTATGCCTTGTTTTGTGCATCATCAACATAGTGAATCCATGGCTCATCAAGGTAGCAAGTGAGCCTTACCTTTGTGTCTTTGTGTCCTTTGTGTCTCATCAACTTGTGTTGCACCCCCCAGAATATCTCCTCTACAATGGTTAACATGGTTTCATTGTTATCCTTGCTAGGCTTGGGGTGCCAATCAAATAGCCGATGAAATAAGCATCTGATATTTTACTGTTATCACATATTGCCAACTATCCCATGAAGTCCAAAATGTTCTTCTGTAGGTAATGGCATGTACTTTTTATTGGATCACACTGACCACAAACATCCCCTTCCTGATAGCTTCCATAATCTTCTCTGTTATATCCCTACCCCAAATGAGAGTCAGTGTGGTGTAGTGGTTAAGAGTGGTGGACTCGTAATCTGGTGAACTGGGTTCGCGTCTCCGCTCCTCCACATGCAGCTGCTGGGTGACCTTTGGCTAGTCACACTTCTTTGAAGTCTCTCAGCCCCACTCACCTCACAGAGTATTTGTTGTGGGGGCGGAAGGGAAAAGGAGATTGTTAGCTGTTTTGAGACTCCTTAAGGAGGAGAAAGGCAGGATATCAAATCCAAACTCTTCTTCTTCTTCTACCCCAAAAGAAGCAGCTGGGACTGTTCTGTGCTAAAGGATAAACTAAAACCCTTGTATACAGCAGCTTCTCCTGCAGGTGATTTGCTCTTCAAAGTAGAACTAGTAGAGCTGGGGGAAAAAAAAAAACATCCATAGAAAGAGCGGCACAGCTCACAAAAGCCCCAGAGTCTCACAGTTATTACCATAACTGAATTTAAAGGCTGGCTTTTGTCTTTCATGGTTACTACTATGGATGCTTTATTTGCTTAATTTCATTTTAAATAACAATAATGCATGTAATTACCAATAGATCAATGATGTTTTGGCTGCTCAAATGGTCAGCACTGCTCCCCATGCAACAGACCTCTAGGAGTTCCATAAACCTTATGACTTGGAATGCCTCTATAGTAAAAAGCCCAGACTCCCCTCATAATAAGTAGACTGTTCTTTATGATTTAATGCTTTACTTCAATTATGAAATATTTGCATACTCTCTCTAAATTGCTAAATATGTACAGATGTGAAAAATAAAAAGGGAGAAAAAATGTTGAAGAGATAGCTGTGATTAGTGAAGATTGCTAAATATCATGAATGCACATAGACTAGTGTCAGGGAACTGACATCGGAGCAAAATAGAGAGGCGAGGCTCTCCAATGATGCCAGAGAAGGAACCAGTACAGGAGGAGAGAGGGCTCCCGCGGGGGAAGGAAAATCAGGTGACACCAGGAAGAAAGGAGGGTTGGAGAGCACCTTGGAGGGGAGGCTCCGAGACTCTTCAAGTGAGGTCAGTGAGGAGAGTGGAGGACCACTGATAGGCACGCCCACTCTGCGCAGAAGGCTGCCGCGCAGAGAGGCGAGAAGAAGGCTGTCCGTTAAGGAATTTTTATGTTGGAAGAAGTTTAGGAAACGCCCACTGATGGATTCTGCCAGCGACTGAAGCAGTCATGCCCAAGGGGGGCTGCTCAGCCGGGGAAAACGCAACCGCCTCACGCAGTTTGGAGCAGGTGGAGGTTACACACAAGCAACCCCAATTCCCATGATAACTAGATTAAAATTAGATTACTGTACAAAATCAGTTCAGAATGGAGAAAGAGAAGGCAAGGGGTTCCAAATATATATACTTCAACTTCACATTGAAAGTTAGTTCCAGCGGTTTTTCTTATAAGAGAACAATGGCAAATGTAGGAATCCAATTTGTAAGATTTCTTAAGGAAAAAAACCTGGAAGTAATGATCTCATTGTGCTTGGTTGACTGCACTATTCTAAGTGTATTTTAAAAAGAAAAGAAAGGGTATATCAAAGACTTTGATCTTAAGCAAAAGTACTTGGAAATTGATCTGAATCAGTGTTGCTATTGTAATTTATATACCGCCTTTTATCCAAAGATCTCCGGGCAGTGTACAAAACCACTTAGCTTCTGACTCCTGGCTCACTATTCTTGTTTCTTGTTTCCCACCCATTTGGCAGGTAGCAGGGAAGCTGCCTTCGTCTATGCAATCTCCTCCGCTGGAGTTGTATACGCCATCACCAGGGCTTGCAGCCAAGGTGAGCTCAAGGCCTGCAGTTGTGATCCCCACAAGCGGGGCCGCTCTAAAGACGAAAGAGGGGAGTTTGACTGGGGGGGCTGCAGTGACAACATCAACTATGGGATCAAATTTGCAAAGGACTTTGTGGATGCCAAAGAGAAAACAGTGAAGGATGCCCGGGCCCTGATGAATCTGCACAACAACCGCTGTGGCAGAACGGTTAGTAGCATGAATTCTTAGCAGCTTGGAAGTGGCTGATATGAGTCGTCCTGTATGGTTCAATTCAGTTGTGGTTGGTGGGGGGGCAAGAGATGGGACGGGGTTGCTTATCTGCCTTTCTAACACTGAGCATTGCTGCCAGTTCCTGATAGCCGTAAGGCAAGCCGAAGAGGAGCTCAGCATGGTTTGGGTGCAGCGGCAAGAGCATAAGATTGGTTCTACCACCTCAGGCACATGGTTCTGAACATCGCACAACTCACTCTCTCAGGAACTGGCAGCAAGATGTAGTGATGGGAACCCTACCCTGCCTGTGTCACCCCACTGATTGTGCCAGCTAATAATTTTGAATAAAACCACCCAGAGCCCTTTCTGTGCTACAGATCTCAGCCCGTGGAAAACACTGACATCTCAGATTTAATCGTCGGAGAGAGAGACCTGGAGTTTTGTTAGTGGGGCTCTAGTTCTTTGGCCACAAACAAGGCCTCATTCAGCAGGAACTCCCTTCCCCTTATTTAGACCAGGCTTCCTAATCAAAATAAGCCAATGGATGGGAGTCTGTGGCCCTCTGTTGTGAGACTAGCTGCCATCATCCCTGGCCATTGACTTTGCTGGCTATGGCTGATGTGAACTGCAGTCCAATAACATCTGGAGGGCCACAGGTGCTCCATCCCTGGCCTAAGAAGAGTTTAAACCAGGGGTGGTTAACCTGTTGTTGGACTTCTATCAGTCCCAGCCAGCTGGCAAAAGGTAGGGAAGGGGAAATCATGCCATACTCAGCCACAGACCCAAGGAGAGATTTGGCATTGCACTGTGTCAAACATTCTGCCAGTGCAAGCATTTCAGCTTGCCTGACAAAATGACCCCCCTCCTCCCCCCCCCACTGTGATGCTGTTCTGGGGGATTCTACACACACACACACACACCAATTTCAGGGGGCATGCAGAGGAAGGGGAGAAGCCCTGTTGCACAAGTGGAAGTCTTTGCATTGGCTTCCACTGATGGCTTTCATTAGCTGAATCCCTTCCACGTCTGCATATAAATACAATCAATTTCTGTTCTGTCAAGCTGGCATTCTTTTTAGCCAGAAAGGCATGCCTCTGTAGCATCATTACAGAAAATTTGCCTCCATTCATGCAGTGATAGTTATCCATTTCAGCACAAGCATTTTCCATCAGGTCATTAAAGGTTCCTTAGATTTGCTTCCAGTTGGGATGAATCTTGGCTCTAATAGACTAGTCCATGGATTTTGACAAAAGAAGAGCTGCAGGTATTGTTCATAGGGCTGGCGGGTCTTTTCTATAACTAGTGAAAATGCCCTAAATGGAAACATAGGAGAGGTAAGCAAGGCAAAAGTGTCTGAGGCAGCGATAACCAACACAGGCGCATTATTAAAGCAGTTTTTGTCGATAATGGGAACACGTAGGGTCATTTATAGGGTTGATACTCTCTCTTCTGTTCCAGGCTGTGAAGCGCTTCCTGAAACTCGAATGCAAATGCCATGGTGTCAGCGGCTCCTGCACTTTAAGGACTTGCTGGCTGGCAATGTCGGACTTCCGCAAAACAGGAGACTACCTCCGGAAGAAATATAACGGTGCCATCCAAGTAACTATGAACCAGGATGGCACTGGGTTCACTGTGGCCAATAAAAACTTCCGCAAACCCACCAAAACGGACCTTGTATATTTTGAGAATTCACCCGATTACTGTGTGATGGACAAGTCTGCAGGTAAATGGCTCCTTTGACCAAACAGCAGGCTTTCTGTGCCCTTACTCGCTAGCTGTCCTTCTTTCATGGGGACCAGCAATTTTATTCTAATCATAAATGGCCAGGACATCTTCAACATTGGGGTGAACAGCATGCTCCCCCATATTTCATGACAGCAGGCTAGTTTTGGGAGTGTACAGGGTTATGGGTGAATAGCACACACAGCCGAATGGCAGGGAGGGGTTCAGGAGGACTATCTGGGTGTCTCTTGTCAGTGCCCCCTCATGGCCTGCAGCATCTGCCACTTGGGACAGCTGCCTCACTCTGCCTAATGTTAAAGCTGGCCCTGATGCATTTCCTGCCTTGCCCAAGCCAGTTTATTGTTGTTGTAGCACATTATTAAGACTGGGCATATATTCATTCCCAGGAATATAGAAAACTGTCTTATGCTAAGCCAAACCATTGGATCTAGCTAGCCCAGTATTGTCTACAATGACTGGGAGTGGCTCTCCAGAGTTTCAGACAGGGGGCTTTCCTAGCCCCACCCACAGATGTCAGGGACTGAAGCAGAGTCCTTCTGCATGCAATGCAGATGCTCTGGCACTGAGCTATAGCCCTTCCCTATCAGTCAAGGGCAACCTATACAAGCCAAAGGCATTTTTCGGATGCTTTAGGTTGCACTGCTTCAGATAAGTGCTTGTAGAATTTGCTGCCATGTACACTGTGGAAAGGAACCCATAACTCAAGTTGACATAAGCCAAGTGTATAAGGTTTCCAGATTTTCGCTCTTCATCAGCAAACCTAATGCAAAATCCAATGAAAGTATTCTTCTGTTTTTACAGGTTCGTTAGGGACAGCCGGACGAGTGTGCAACAAGGTCTCACGTGGGACCGATGGATGCGAGGTCATGTGCTGCGGCCGAGGCTATGACACCACCCGCGTGCGGCGAGTCACCAAATGCGAGTGCAAATTCCACTGGTGCTGCGCTGTCCGCTGCAAGGAGTGCGAGGACACCGTGGACGTTCACACGTGCAAAGCACCCAAGAGGGCAGAGTGGGTGGACCAAACCTGAGACAGTGTGAACCAGAGGGGGGAAAGCAAAACTGGCACAGTGCCCCAGGGCTTGGGCATTCTGGGAATTGTAGTTCAACTGCATGGCTTTTATTTAATTAATTCTGCAAAGCACTACAGAGAAGACTACATTTCCCATGGGGATAGCGAGCTCTTCTGCTCACCCAGTAGAACTCACTCCTCTAACTTTAAAAAGGAATTTTCAAATGACAGGGAACTGTGAAGCTTCCTTTGCCTGGCGATATTGTCCAAAGAACAAATGAATAAAAAGAGGGAACAATGCAGCTGCGTAGGAGCACAAGAGACTGAGGAGCAGGTTACAATTAGCTGGAGAACCTTGCCTCTCTCCAGGGAATGTTCAGCAGTATATTATAAAATGTTGCCTAACCTGCAGAAATCCCTCCATCTACCCTGGAAGAAAGTACTCTATTTCCCAAAAGAAGATGGCTGTATAGTCCTAAGGAACTACATGTTCTGCTATGGATCTCCACTCATACAGAGGCCACCATGCCTGCACTATGGACATTAGCTGAACAACAGCAACATTGTGTAAAGGGACTTCGTTACCTTTTCCTTTCTAATGGAAAGCAAACTGTGGAGTTACAAAGTTGGCAGCCGAAAGAAAACCAGTATCTACATGCAGAGGGGGAAAAGTATGAAAGTTGAGAGTACATGTGTATGTCTGGACGCGCTGGTAGGTTCTAAAGGAAACTAATATAAAGGTGACTTTTTGGTACAAATGCACTTGTACATCATGTAGACTGCTTTAAATACTTTAAATCAAAATCCCATATAAACCTGTATCAGAAAACGGTGTTCTTTGCTTTGTGGCTTTCTACAATCGTGGCTAGCAAGGTGAGTAATGGGCAGGTTCTTGCCCTATGTTACTGCTGCACTCCACAACTGTGGCACTTCTAGACTATAAGGTCAAAGCATCTTCTACCATAGCCTCATGTGCAACTGTTGGAGGTGCTTCAGTTTGGGCCTCTGCTGAGATTACAAAAAGGCAGCCATTGTTGTATCAGTTTTCCACTCCTTCCAGGGTGGGACAGGCAAACACAAATCTCTTATGTTGTGATTCTTGCCTTGTGGGGGTTGAACCAGATGACCCTTTGGGTCCCTTCCAAGGAGTACTTGGGTCATGGTCTCATGGAGTCACATGCAGCTCCTAAGCCATAGCTTTGATCACCTGAAATCTAGTGCAGGGTTTGACCCCCATCTTGTGAATCAAGTCATTAAGCCAAGCTCTGTAAATGAATCCTTTAGGATGTAGAGTCACTGTTTGGCCCCTTGCACCAGTAGAGACCTGCAAGTATTAAAAGGGCCCTATAAGGATCATTTTCAAAACCACGATTATAAAAGCTGTTTGGCAATACAAACCCAAGTGTCAGTCTTTTGTGCGACCTCATTTCACAGTTTCACGGCGACTGTGTGGGCTTTGTCTCTGGAACATAACTCCTTAGGATGAAGCCAGGACTGTTAAGCTTGTTTAGGTTCACAGTGTTGTTATAGCTTTTGCAAGCTCAGCAGAAGCCAATGAATCAGTCTAAAGCCACATGGCACACCCACGCCACAGGGGATGAACCAGTTTTGTTGAATAAATGCAAATACCCAACTATGGGAGCTTCGCATCTGCAATCAGCATATTGTCCTCACTGTTATGCAATAGCTGCATTGCACGTGTCTGCCCAGACAGGCCACAGCAGTGTCAAAACCATATTAACTTACTGAACCTGTATACATCTCCTTAAACACAAATCTCACCTTGTTTGGTGGGACTTACTCCCAAGTAAATGTGCAGAAGTTTGCAACTTAACTTAAAAAAAAACAAACCAACAAAACCCCTGTTAATAACCTCTACAAAACTTTTGAAGGTACAAAGTGCCTGATAATCCTACACAGTCCATGTCCAAACCAAATATTTCACCTAATGCATATTACCTTTTAGGAAGTCTCAGGTCCAATGTCCAGCATATCTAGATAGAGTTAGGAAAGACCCAAGCTGAATCTCCGGAAAGCCATGGGCCAGTCATTGGGCGTTGACATTTCTGAGCTAGGCAGATCAATAATTTGACTCTGCAGATGTCAGCTTCCTGTGTACCAGCTCCCTTTCTCTCTCTGATGCAGGATCAGGGATGGAGACCATGGCAACTGGACCTGCACATTTCAGACAACATAGTAGCCTTTTCCTAGGCACAAAGATCAAAGATGTGTTGAGAGAATATTACTGTATGGCTGGGAAACGTTTGTGGGGGTTTTTAACCCAAGGGCCACATTCCCTTCCTGGAAACCTTCTGAGGGCCATATGCCAGCAATTGGCAGGACCAGAGGCAAAAGTGGGTGGAGCAATGAACATGAATATCACTTTTCAATGGTAGACTAGTTTCTACACATATCCACACGCCCGTCTCTGTCTTCTATCCATGCAAGCAAGAAACATTATTAGAGTTTATGGAGATTTTTCCAGTCTACAGAAATTCTCAAGGACCATACCGGGCTGGAAAGAAGGTGTGGCTGTCAAGAGTCCCACAGAGACCTGGAGGTTCTTCATTCCTATCTTAATGGAAAATATAAGCATTGCTAGCTTAGACAGTGGTGTACCTAATAATTTTATTGGGGGTCAGCAGCAAGATCCCATTTCATCCCTGGCTTTTTACAAATTCAAAAGGTGTTTTCCAATGTTCAGATATATGTTCCAATATATATGATGAAGAATTGACACTGCAGAAAATTACTAGCCTGCACCTTTCAGGGTGCTGTTGCTGCAGAACATCTAAGTTCTCATTGCTCAAATAGAAAAAGAAACAGATTTGATAAGCTCTTGCCAACTAATAGTGAATGAATTGCAATGCTACATAAAGCAGTCTTCCTAAATTGCATTCACACCTTTAAGGAAGTATTTTAATGGTTAAGCAAAACTGGATCATCATTAGATCATCCCTTATCAAACGTTATGCTGAAAGTCTCCCAAGGCTATTGTGTGCCTGAAAGGGGTATGTTCATAAGAATAGAATAAGTCCAAGAAATATTGAGAACAAATGACACCTAGCTTTCCCATTGTCTGGCTGGGGAGAGAACACAAACCTGGGAACATGGTCCTCTGCTGCCATGGCAACAAGCAGCTCACCTTTGAAACTTTCCCCACCTTCACAAGAAGGTCACATCTCCTATTCTTTCTGGTATGGCATTGACACAGTTTGCTGCTGGCCTACAGAAGCTTTGATGAGAGCTATACACTCAGTACCAGGCAATATGAACAGCAGGGAGCTCAACTTAAGGAAAGAAAGAGGAAGAACATTATGAAAGCATGGGCAATGTCAAATGTTGCATTACAAATCCAAACGTTTTCCTCATTTGTTTCAACAAAATAAGCAATATATACCTTTTAAAAATCCCCCCACCTGTTTTCACCATTGTTTTAATTGGATTCTATTATTTGCATTCCAATTTGACACTTGAAAGACTTCTAAAACCCTTGTTTCACCCAACCAGTTTATCTTCTCATTGGCCTGCTTACCAATAGACATACACATACATTTTCTCAGTATTCCTTACTCCAGCTCTACAAGGTAGGTCAGTATTATCATCTCTATAGCACAGCTGAAGGACTAACGCTGGAACACAGTAGCTTGCTTAAGACCACTTAGTGCAGGCATGGCCAAACCTGGCTCTCCAGCTGTTTTAGGACTACAATTCCCATCATCCCTGACCACTGGTCCTGTTAGCTAGGGATGATGGGAGTTGTAGTCCCAAAACAGCTGGAGGGCCAAGTTTGGCCATGCCTGACTTAGTGCAATGGTGAGGAACCTGTGGCCCTCCAGATGTTGCTGCACTACATTTCCCATCATCCCTGAAAGTCGGCCACGCTAGCTGGAGCTTATGGGAGTTAGACTTCAATAACATCTAGATGGCCACAGGTTTCCCACCACTGACTCAACAAGTTCAAGGCAGTGGTAAGATTCAAAGCATTAGCTTCCTGTTTCACAGTCTTTAAAAATGTCTTTTTATTATAAAGAAAAATAATACAAAGTATGCTTTCCGTTGCAATTGCAGGCTATGTTTCCATTGCAATTACATTTTTTAAAAAAAATCAAAATAAGCTTGAACTGGTATTACAAAACTGAAAAGCAGTTATAAATATTTGTGTCAATGTTATATTTAAGCAGAGAAATTAATAAATCGGCGCCACAATAAACTTTCCCCCTGTCTTTTGTTTTCTCTCTCAGTGTCACAGTTTATGTAACTTGGCATTTAGGCAGGGGGCCAAATTTTAGTAATCAACTCTTTCATAGAATATATTTTATGCACTTCATCCTTTTTCTGCAGTTACAATTTTAGCAGTCATCAGCAAACCAGAAGTTAGGCAAACCATAACCATTAGGATTCCCCTCTCATATTTCTAACTATCTTACATAACAAACAGCAGCAGTTCAGAGCCTATGAAATGTTGCTCACATTGTTTCTTTTAGAATGTTATCTCAATATGCCTGCATCTTAGAGCACTTCCACCACCTATGAATGAAGTATGTACAAGAGCAGTTGCATCTCAAACTCCTCATGTATTAGATTAATTTAGGGAGAAATAAGATACCAAACACATAGAATCTTCTTTCATGGGAATATAAAACAAAGGAGAATTGCTTTTGGTAAGGGTTTTGGGTGGAATTGAACATAGTATTATTACAAATTTTCCATCTGCACAAGCGTATCATCTTGCTAGATGGAACAACCCCCCCCCCGTGAAGTGTCTCTCAACTTGCCCCCAGAGCCAATTTGGGGTGGACACATGGGGGAGGGGGGAGCAGCATTGCACAATTGGACGCTTCCGCTCATAAGACTTGTTAGCTGAAACCCGCCCTTTGTATCAGTCTGCATCACTTATTGCAATTTCAAGCATTTTCTCCCAATCTTGTTTTTAATTACCTCTTACATCACAGTCAGGGGTACCCCAGAGGTAATCTGTGACCCTCCAGGTAGTACTTGTCTGCAACTATTATCATTCCTGGGCATTGGCTTAGTTGACTGTGGCTGACGAGACACAACCACCATCAGTCCCAGCCAGCATGGTCAATAATTGGGGGTTATGGGAGTTGCTACAATGGAACAGTTTCTCAAAATCAGTTATGTTACTACTCAGTGTGCTGGCTCTTCCTGTTCTGATCACCTAATCATTCCAAATTGAAAACAGTGAAAGCCCATTCAGATCCTCCTTCAGCCATCATTCCTTGATATCTCACAATCCCATTTTTAATCTATTTGGAAGACTTGGCTACAATTTTAAATTGTGAACGGTTTATTGAAGTTTTGGTTTGCAATATTTCACTTGCAGTCCATTTGGACATGGGACTTCTGATAGCCTCGAATTTTTTACATTCTATAGGAAATTTCTGACATCCACATTTGGAATGATATTGCTTCTTACATTTGTTCATCAGATGTGTATCCATTTATGGGGGTGGGGAGGCAAAACTCAGCACACTCATAGCTCCAAGAGTGATCATTCAGTCTAACTGATTTCTGTGAAGATTTAATTCGTTCAATACTTTGGAATTAAAAATGGTTCTTATGTATTAAAGGGTTTAAAGTTATCTCTTGTGCTAGTTATTGCTTGTTCTTATTTTGTCTTTTATTCAGCAAAGCTGATAACTGAATAAAAGAATGCCAGGACAAAAAATGCTTTTCTGGCACCCCACACAATCTGTCAATCTACTTCAGATGAGTACTTAAAAAGAAGTATTTCTGCGGTTTCTGCATAACCTCATGTCCCTAATCGCATGTGTAGATCTCTCAACCAATATCAACGTGCGGTACTTTGTATAAAGAGGCTGATGCAGACCAATCTATGCATGCAGGTGCATGATCAGAAATTTCTCTTGGCAATCAAGATCCACTTGAGAGATATGTTGTCACTTATTGCTCACCTTTACCAGGATTATAGCAATCCTAGAATAACTTTCAACAGAGCAAGAATAATTTCTAGGTGAAGGTTTACATTCCATCACTACTTTGAATTTTGTTATTATATGACTCAGAGAAATGGATTCTCTTACAATTCCATGTGAAGCAACATCTATTGCCTGGGTATTGGTTAGAATACCTTGCGGGATGTTTTCGTTCCCGTCTCTAGTCATAATGTGCTTTTGCCCTTAACGTCATGTGCTTCAACAGGATTTGGAAGAGCATCCTGTGCAGCTTCTCTATTCCTATTCAGTACCACTTTGGCTTATGTTCAACAGAGATTTTGATGGGAAACACCCAATTTATACCGGAGTCCATACTTAAGATTCATTAGAAATTTAATTGCTCCTTTTTCATAAAGTTATGCTGGAGAGAAATCTTAACTCAGCTCAGAAATCCAGGGGATCCAAATTCTGGTTCATCAAAAAGTCATTGTTTCAAATCTTGTCATATAGAATTTCTGATTCTAATTGAGACCGGAGCCGAAAATACAAGAACAATCATATTGTGGCAAGTGCCCTACTAAAGGTTACTGAAAATGTGTGGGAAGAGCTGGTCTGCATCAGCTCCCTCTTATGCTCTAAGATTTCACAGGAGTGCTACCGGTCACAGCAAGGAGTCATTGTTGTAAAATAAGCTCTGCACTGATGGCTGGTTCTGCACCAAACTTGGACTTTGTCAGGTCATCCATCCCATCACCAGTGACACTTGTATGCTCTCATGGCCTTCTTGGGATCTTCCTTCCCCATCCTGTTTGCTGCTGCATTAGCAAAATGAGTTGCCAAAGTCAGGCATGTCTGTGGTCACAGTGCAATTTCTAGAACAGTTGACAGATTTCAATGTAAATTCACACTAGTT